CCGGGGCCGGCCTTCCCGGCACCTCGGCCGCCCGCTCGGCAGGTGCCGGGCGGGGCGCAGCTCGTCCCGCCTCGGGGCCCCTCCCAGGCCACCCCTTCATGCGGATCTCCGAGGACCCGAAGATGTGTAGGGACGGAGGCAGGGGACAGCAGGACACCGGACTCTGACCCGGAGACTGCCGGGCTGGGGTCCCGCGCCTTTTAGGTGTGGGGGCGTGGCTGCCCGGCCGGGCTCGCCCCTCGGCGTGGTGCCCAGGAGGGCGCCTCCCCCGGACCTGGCCCGAGCGCCCCCGGCGGCTACCGAGGCTGTGGAGCTGAGAGGATGGGCGGGCAGCGGCGGGACGCGGCCCGAGGGCAGGGGCTCGTCCGGTGAACGCCAGTCCCGGGCCTCCATCGGGACCAGTGGCCCATCCGCGGCGCAGAGGGTCACTTCAGAGTCCTCCCACACCCTCAGTCCAGACCCGTGCCCATCCCGTAGACCCCTTCTGAAGGCCAAAGCTGCCCTTGCCTCCAGGAGAGCTGTCACCCAAGCTTCCGAAAAGGGCTAGTCTCCCGCTCAGCTCCGGAATCCCTCACACGAGCATCACAGTCCTTCCCCTGAATATAATATAAACTACCCAAGTCATTTACATGCTGTTAGCCTGACCCATTTCTGCCGCTTTCTTGCCAGCTCAAATCTTCGAGAAGCAGAAGACACCGATGGAGCCCCCCAGCCTCCCTTCTCTGGACTTCTGCAAAACACCTGATCTCCACTGCCATCCCACCTTTCCTCAAGCAGCTTCTTCCCAGGGTCCCTCAGGTCTCCTGCCAGCTCTTCTTAGGGTGTATGGGCTTGGCAACCACCTCCTACTTTCAGGAAATAGCTGGAACCTCTAGCCCAGCTGCCCCAGCTGTGCCCCCACCACCACCCCTGCCAAGCCTAGCTCTTGGGCTCCTTGGCAACATGGGTCCTGATAATTGAGGACTGGGATCGCTGACCTTCGTTAGAGATCCCCAGACCCCTGAGATGTGGTGGGGATGCGAGGTGCATGGGTACCGCTAGTGAGTCCCACCCAGACTTCCTCCTGGAGGCCAGAGCATCCTGGTACCCACATGGGGGACCAGAGGTTGCTGAGGGACAGGAGTGGAGGCAGGGAACCCCTTTCTGGGTCCTCTGCTTCTCTGGAGACCCAGGCCTCTGCCGGGGATGGGGGAGCTGCCTCTGGCTCGTGACAGGCCCTCCCCACCAGCTCTATTTTAGGCCCAGGAGAAGTGAGAAGGCGATTTCCCGGGAGGCACTGACATCAATGCTGGGAATGGGGTGACTCCCCCTCTTCCAGCCACCTGCCAACCAGACCCAGATGCTCAGCAGGGCTGAGTCGATTGTTCCTGCACTCTGGAGCCATCTCGCAAACATCCTCCAGGGTGTAGAGGCGGGGAGGCTCCTGGGATGAGGGCCTACTTTGTGATATTATCTGGAAACTCAGTTCCCCAGGAGGGAGAGATCGTGATCCCCATTTGACTGATGGGGAAACAGGCTCCAAGAGGCTACGTGGGCTTCCCAAAGTCACACAGCTGGTCACTCCATCCTCACTCTCTACCTTGGAACTAGAGGGGATGGGTCTATCTGGTCCATTCATCTCTCGCCCTGGCCCCTCTTTAGTCACCACCAGATGACTTGGTCCAGCCCCACCTGCTCCATGTTCCAGGGCCACATCAATGAGCCCCCCCAAACAGTTGTGCCTCCCAAAAGGATAGACGGGGTGTGTTGTTTCAGTGGAGTGCCCTGGTGCTGGAGGAGCCTGGGTACCTGCACCCCCCCACCCCGCCCCCCGCCACAGACACATCCAAGACCATACAACAAGCCCAACCTGTGGCCCAGGCCTCCTCTGCTGAGTTATATTCCTGTTACATCTGTGGTTCCTGGTTCCTTTGGCTTCCTGTTGAGGAGACCCTTCCAGCCCCCAGAACGATTCCTCCATGGTGGCACCCTGGCCAGCTCCAGTGGGGACTCAATTGGATGGTCGCTCAGGCCCCAACAGCCCCTCATCTCCCTTGGTTCCCCAGCTGGGCAGTCCTGACTCTGTTGACTATACCCCACTCTCCAGCCCGCAAAGTCCCACTGCCCCCATCCTGCACTCCCTCTCAGCTCCACCATAAGCTGCACCCTTTTTCCAAGCAGGAAACTTGCTTCAATCCTCCTCACCTCCCCTCCTTGCTGAACTCAGGGCTCTGTCCTCAAACTGGGGGCTCCCTGAGGGCAGCAACTGAGTCTCCCATCTGACTGGGATTTCACAAGAGCAGGGACTATGTATCCGCCATCAGACATGGCCCCTGATAGCAAGGACTGTACTTCTTACTGGGACTCCTGGGGGCAGGGCCTGAGTTTTCCCCTAAGCAGGGGGTTCTCTGGAAGGCCACCACCAACCCCACAACTATGGCTGCCCCTTTGGTCCCTCCTGTCTGTCCCTTGTTTCTCCCGGGAGGCCAGCGGCCACTGTTTCTGCTGTCTGAATGCCACCTTTGGAGTTGCTCCTGCTGAGGGAGCTGTGAGGGAGTGTGGGCTCAGGTCCTACTGGATGCCCTCCCTCAGGAGCCGCCCCCCACACCAGGAGGCCTGGGCAGCTTCAGAACCGGGCTTACGGCCTCCTTCCTCTGCAGCTGTTTCTGCCCTTCAGCCAATTCTTCCTTCAATTTTTCCTGCACAAGGGCTAAGCTGGGCTGATGCAGGGCAAGACCCACTCCCAGCGACTGCAGGTAAGGGAGGGGATCAGCCACCCCTGGCCCTGGGGCCGCGCGGTGGGCAGCGTTTCCTGCCAATGGAGGCCGTCTAGGCCCAGTGCGCAGTCTTTGAGGCCTACAGCAGAGACCGGCGCCAATCAAGGGGGCAGGACTCAGGGCTCCAGGCAACCAGGCTGGGCTCCAACCTGGCTCCCCTACTTACCAGATGTGTGACCTCAAAAAAGTCTCCAGCCTCTCTAAGCCTCAGTTTCTTCATCTGTGAAATGGGGGTTAGAGAAGCCCTCCCTTACAGCTGCACTGTGAGAGATAAATGACTTGATGGGCAGAAAGTGCTTAGAGCAGTGCCTGGTGCTCAGAAGGGGCTCTCTCTCACGCTGTGTTCATTGTCAATGTTGCTTTTAAGGTGCTGAGGAGAAAACCAGTTCCCTGGCTGGCTCCAGGGCCTCAGGACCCTCTTCCAGTCATGGAGAGACTATACCCCAATGACATAATGTTGGGGGGTGGGTAGCAAGGGAAATGTCCACAACATCCGGGTCTGACGTTCATGCTACTTCCTTACAGGCCCCTACCCAGGGCTATCCTTTCTCAAAGGAGAGGACTGCTCTTCTCATCTGAATATTCCTCCAGGGAAACCTCATGCTCCTCCCTCTCCGGTGCCCCCAGTGGCGCCCCACTCCTGGCTCCGTTATCTCTGAAGCCCTGAGGCCTTGCTCCAGGGAGGAGCCAGGATCCCGGGCACATCCATCCTTTAAGGTTTGTGGTGCACAGGTGTTGTCCTGTCGTCAGGGGCCCAACATGCTATGGGAGGGTGCAGCACCCACACCACTGCCCATTCTCGCCCATGCAAGGGATCCTGTGGGAGCTTAGGACAGGGTGGGAGCCACGGGCCCCACTCTGGTGGATGAAGTCCCTTAGCGGCTTCATCCACCAATTCACACTGGACATGAGGATGCAGGTCACAGAGACATTACAAGGTAGGCGATTAGTGAAAATAAGCTGTTAGTGTCCAGGAGGGAGATCTTATAGGTGGGGAGATCTTATAGGTGGGGAGAGAGGGATAATTAATTCCTGTTTGTTGAGGTCTTACAACATGCCAAACCAAAACCAAGCCAAACCCATTGATGCAGAGTCGATTCCAACTCATAGTGATCCTATAGGGCAGAGTAGAATTACCCCATAGGGATTTTAAGGCTGTAATCTTTTTGTAAGCAGACTACCACATCTTTCTCTTGCAGAGCTGGACCTTTTGGTTAGCAGCCGAGTGCTTAACCATTGCACCACGAAGGCTCCTACAACATGCCAAACACATTACAACCAGTATGGGATTTCTTTCGAGATCCTAGCCCGAATAGCCTGGGCTGCCTGTTGGCCATTCCCCAGCAAGCCATACCTAGTGAGGTAGCAACTACTATCGCTTCCATTTTTCAGGGTCAGAAAACTGAGTTTCAGAGGTTTGCCGAAGGTCACAGCGCTAAGTGGCAGGCGCAGATTTGAACTCATGCCGTCTGTGTTTTGAGCCTGTGTGGCTCAAAAGCTCATGTCTTGAAGGCTTCCACTCCAGGGTTCCTGGAGAATATGGAACCTGTGCCTGGGAGAATGGGGCGTTCCAGGGACAGGAACATCAAGAACGAACACGTGGAGGCTGGATCGTGCATGTGGTTTAGAGACAAGTGGACTACCCTGGCTGCAACAGGGATCCGGTAGAAAGTGGCAGAGAGAATGAGGAGATGGGTGGGTGTGGGAAGGAGGCACATTCAGGAGGGAGAGAGCATAAGAGGACTTGAGACTGATTGGATTTGGCTCCAGGAGTGGCTTTAAGAGGTGGGAGTTGAAGAATGCGGGGAGAAAAAGAATGACGAAGTGGGAAGGGAGAGCCAGCATCTCAGGTTCAAGGAAGAATTCTTAGATATGTTGCATTTGTGTGGTAGCAGGATGGGGAGGGATACAAGAGATTCCTTGACGGTCGTATTTTATTATTGAACCCATTGCTGTTGTCGATTCCAACTCATAGCGACCTGATAGGACAAAATAGAAGTGCCCTATAGAGTTTTCAAGGAGTGGCTAGTGGATTCGAACTGCCAACCTTTTGATTAGCAACCAAACTTTTAACCACTGTGCCACCAGAGCTCTGATATTGGAAGGAAGGACCTTTGAAATCATCTCATCCAAAGCCCTCATTTCAAACTGAGGAGACTGAGCCCAGAGTAGTTAAGGGACTTGCCCAAAGTCACAATGTGAGTTGGGGTCGCGGCTCAATCTCCTGTCTTCCCACCCAGGGCGGGTCCCCCTGCTGCACCTGCCTCCAGAGACAGTAGGATTCAGATGGCAGTCAGGGGTGGAGCTACTATTTAGGTCACATCTTCAGAGAGGTGAAAGAAGAAATGGTGAGAAGAGGTGAGAACGAAGATCCCAAGACTGAGTCTTGGGGAAACAGGGTTTCGATTTCGACCCCAATTATACTGAATCAGAATCTAACAAGATCCCCAGGTGATTCTTACGTATGATAAATTTTGAGAACCTCTGCTCTACTAGTGGTTCTCAGAACTGGCCCCTAATCAGCAGCATTAGCATCGCCTGTGAACTTGTTAGAAATGCAAATTCTCAGCAGGGGTTCTAATCAGAATAAACCAGTTCGAAGCCCAGTGGGGAAAGCAGCTGGGGCTGGAGGGCTCTTCAGGGTCTGGAAGCTGATTCAGGGTAGAAACTTACAGCCTGTGCTGAATGACAGAACGAGAGGCAAAGAAGAGAAGGCTGGTGGGGAGGGGAGGAGGGAAGGAAAAGGAAAACAGGCTAATGTAAGGCTGCTGGGACCAAGGGAGCCAAGTTTCAAGATGTACCAGATGCTTCAGCCAGAAGGGAGGTGGGAAAGGAGAAAAGGAACCTGAACTTAGTAATTAGCAGGTTATCTGGTGACCTTGGAATGGACAATCCCAGTGGAGTCTTCAGGCAGCAGCCACCACGGAGGATCTGGAGGGGAAGACATGAAGGCAGTGGGTGTGGACTGCAGGAAGCAGCAGAGAACGGGAGGGAGCCTTCTTCAAGCTGCAGAATCAATGCAGTGTTTTCCAGGATGGAGTAGCATCGTGTTTTCGGGCAGAGGGAAGGAGAAGTGGAGAATCTGAGAGGAGAAAATTGACGAGGCTGGTAGGGGTGGGCTGAGAGCACAGGGATGGTGTGACTTGAGGAGGAAGGGCATTGCTTCCTTTGAAAGCGGAACAAAGAATAGGAGATGTTGAAGGGAAACTGACAGCAAGATGAGGCGGTGCTTAGACTGAGTCAAGGTCGTCTGCTGAGAGGGAGGGGAGTGGATATGGAGTGGGGACTTGAGGAAGGAAAGGAGATTTAAACAGTCCCCATGTCAAGGAGCCACTGAAGGGCCCCTAATTTATGCCAAGCAGCATCCACCTATACTGGGTCAGGTCTCAGGTGGTCTGGGTTCCCCTCTAACTTAAATCCACAGCCTGGAAGCTGGAATGGAAAAACAGCTGGGAGTGATGCAGCCTCAGGGTACAGCTGGCAGAGCTGTCCAAGATCAGAGTCATTGAGATGGAAGGGTCGTGACCAAGGCCTGGGAAGGAGAGGCCACATGTGAGGAGTATGTGGTTGGAAAGGGCAGGGCCAAGTGGTGACAAGGGGGCCGGAGCGGAGCTGATGTGGGTGGGCGGGCAAAAGAGACTCAGGGAAATGCGGAGATTGAGGGAGCACGGATGCCACCGTTGGACAGCTGGTGATGTTGCCAAGGATGACAGCAGTGTGGGTGGAAGGGGAAGATGTAAGGTGGTGGGGGCTCGTCCTAGGCAGAGGGCAATGAAGGCATTAGAACCTAGTGCAGCGGGCTCTGAATGAGCGGCACTCAAGGGCAGCAGAGAGGAGGTCTGAGAGAAGGGTAGGGGGCAACTTCTCATCACCCAGAGGGGCAGCGAATGGGGAAAGGCAATGAGTGGTCAAAAAGGAATAGGACGAACCCATCACGGCCCAGAAATAAGCCACAGTCTGGGCCCAGGGGAGTGCCCTTTGGGGCGAAGGATTTCCCTGGGAGTGGGCAGTGAGTACACCCTCTGCAGGTGAGGCCTCACTGGGCAGCAGAGCCAGTGTGTGACCTGAGGAGACTGAGAAGAGGGACAGACAATGTTCTGCCTTCCCTCAGTCCCAGGGCTCGCCGGCAGCAGGGTGGGGGCATTCACATATCCTCTCCAACTTTCATCTGGGCCTACTGTCCAGTTATTCTGCTGATATCTGCGGGACGCTCACCCCTGCCTTGGTCACTGGAGGGCAGGTCACAGACAAGACACACCCCATCTCTTTGCTGTTTATCATCGACAAGTTTATTTACATACCTGAACCAAGATTAATTGTTAAAATTTAACAGGAATGGCCTTAAAATGCCAAACATGACCTTAAGGAGGCTGTATATACAGTTGCTGTTTCCAAACTAACAACTCAGGTCCTCACCCGCAACTAGGCCCCGCTTTCTTCCTCCCAAATGAGACGCAGAACAGCACCAAGCTTCTGGTAGCTTCAACATTTAAAGAGACAAACACACAGCGGCAGAGAAGGGTGAGAAAAACCACAGTACACATTGTAAAAAAAAAAAGTGGCCGAAGAATAGATAGCAAAACTCATTTCTGTCTCCAGATTAATGGCTTGGCTGAAATAAATGGGGGGAGGTCCCTAGCGGGGGCGGGAGATGCACAACTTGGCAGGTGAGACGCTGACCCTGGAATAGCACAAGGTCGGGGTGGGCAGCCTAGGCTGAGACGGCAGAGAAGAGCCCAGAGGGGTCCCCAGAGGGGGCTCTGGCCACATCCTGGCTTGGGGCGGGCAGTGCTGGGCTCCACTAAGTGCATGGGGGCGGGAGCTCTGTAAGTGCTGCAGCCGGGCCCCTCCTCTGCTTCATATGTTCCTGAGGATCTGTACGTGTGCGTGGGGGGCTGGGGGAGGGGACACAAACACCGAGGACTTTAGAAAGCAGGAGACAGACACAAGCCTGTGGGAAAGGAGGCTGGGGGTGGGGTGGGGAACACCAGTGGCTACGCATTGCATTGACTCTCCAAAGAGGCAAGTGCCATGGAGGGCCGGGAAGCCAGGCCAGGGCTCCTGCTGCTCCATCCCTCCCTGTGGCCTGGGCAGCTGGCCATGGCTGGGCAGGCCCATCGTGGGGTGCTGTCTGGTCAGGAGTATGGCTGGAGGGAGGGGTAGAGGAGGAAGACCCCCAGCCTAACTCTCGTGGTACTAACCAAAGGCCTGCCCGCCTGTGGGCTCCACTGAGCGTGGCCACGGCAGCTGTCTACTTGGACCTCAAAGGGCAGGCCCGGGGCGCCTTCTGGCTCTTTGTGGGGGGTCCTGGGGCTCTGCTTCTGGTCAGCCTTGGCCAGGGGTGCAACAACAAGCAGAAGTGTATCTTGTGTGTGGCCATCAAGCCTGGAGCCCGTGTGGCCCAGGGGGACTCAGAGGAGCAGTTCTCTGCCAGCACTGGGCTGGGGCTGGTCCATGAAGATGTGGAAGATGGGAGCCAGGGAGGCAGGGGACATGGAGAGGCTGGGAGTTCCAGAACCATCGGGAGCAGTTGGCCCCCCGACTGGTGGGCAGATGGTGGGGGAGAGAGGTAGACTGGCTCCCTGTAGGCCCTTCTGGGGGCTGCGTGCAGGCAGATGTGTGTACGTGGGTAGACAGCAGGCCTGGAGCTGTGGGGCTGCTGGGGGGCTGGTCAGCCTGCTGGGAGACAGGGCCAGGAGCTACGTCCTCAGGATCCTCCAATCCTGGGGGCCACCCTCCCCCAGACCAGGGGGGCTGTGTGGCCCAGAACTCTGCTGACCTGTCTGTGGGCTGCCAGGGTGAGGGGTTTGGGAGAGAGAGGCAGGTCTGTGGGTAGCACAAGGGGAGGAGGGCAGCCTGGGTCCTGGGATCATGGCCTGGCAGGGGAAGGGAGGGGAGATGCCTGCCACTTATGGTCCTGGTACTGCAAGGTTTGGGGGCTCTTGGGACCGAGGGAGGGGCTTGTGGCCAGGAGCCCCCTGGCTGCTTCTCGGCATTGCCACTGGGGGACGAAACCTTCCGCTTGTGGCCAACAAGTGCCAAGTCTGGGCCAGAGGAGAGGTCCGCAAAACCAGAGCTGGTCAGGAGGCACCGGCAAGCAGGGTTCCTGGACTCCAGCATTCCTGGAGAGGCCCCAAAGGCATCGACTGACCCCTGCAGCTCCTGGTAGCTCGCTACTGGTCTAGGTACCTCACCAGTCCCCGCAGGTTCAGCTGATGACTTCATGCTGCCCACTGTCCCATCCTCCTCTGGGGCCCCTGGGGCCTGGTGGTCATCTTCTTTCCTCATCCTGGGAGAGGCCACCCTCGGGAGGGAGGGCTGGCTGTGGGGTGTAGTCTCAGGACAGAGAGGGTCACAATCAGAAGCCGAGGAGCCTGGCCTGTGGAGAGAGAAACACCAAGTGAACTGCAGGGCTCAACGCCAGCGAGGCAGCAAGTTGGGGTCCTCCCAGGCCAGGGCCGAGGGCTGGAGGATGGTGGGCATGCACGGGCCATCCCTTCTGAGTTTTGGTGTGCAGAGAGACAGCTGCCCACTTGGAGCCCTCAGAAAGGCCTGCCCTTTGGGTCTGACACTGCAGCAGCCTCCAGCGCTCTCTGTGCCTCTCTTGGCTCTGTGGCATGTGGTTGGGGCTGGTCAGAGGAACAGTTAGAGGCTGTTCCATTTAATGACTTCGCAGAGGAGGCCATGCCATTTGGCAGCTGGAGAAAGCAGCCCAGAGCCTGACTGCCCAAGCGGAGCCTAGAGGTGGCGGTTTTGGGTGAGAGGTAAAGCCACAGCCACAGCTGAGAGAGGGTCTTGCCTTCAGTGGGCAGCAGGGGGAAGCTGGGCTCAGAGGGCCCTGGAATTTCCACCTAACCCCCTGCAGCCCTTCTTTCTGGGGTAACTTCTAAGGCGGGAGAAAGACCTTGCTCTTCACTCCAATGTAGAGGGATGTAGGGCCCCCTCCCCAACCTTCTTGACAGCCAGACAGGCACATGATCAGGTGTATGGGCCCGGGAGCTGCACCTGCCGGCCTGCTCACCCTTCCTGCTGCGTTAAGTGCTGTGTGTAAGGAAGGGAGGGCTACTCTGGCCTGGGCCCAGCCCCAGTAAGCTGAAGCCACAAATGGAGGCCATCCCAAAACAAACAGGACAGAGGACAGTGAGAAAGAAAGATGAAGAAAAAATGACACAGCCTGGTCCCTGCTGCTGCCAACCTGAGGGTTCCTTCTCATGCAGAGATGGCAACAGGAGAGTGAAAACACATGTCCCACACCCGTGCAGCTCACCTGGGGAGGCTGGCCTGGAAGGGGATGTCTGCAAAGCTGTGGCTGAGCTGGGCGATGATGCGATCAACTTCTGCATACAGATGGGCTTCTAGGGCAAAGCCCCGGTGCTGGGCACTCTGGAGATGCTGACAGGGTGAGAGGGGCACAGAGCATTAGACAATGGTGGGACCCAGCAGACCTCCCCGCCCAGCCTCACCCACTGGAGGGCACGGCCATGCCAGGGTGGAGAGACTTGGCAGGAAAGGCTCAGGTGGCTGTCCCCTACCCTTGTCCTGGGTGGGCCAGGCTCTCAGAACAATCTGGAGAGAGGCTGCTTAGTGGGAAGGGGCTCACCACATGGAGCTCCTCAAAGGCCTCTTGGCAGCACTCACAGTACCCTTTCTTCCTCCTGGGGACAGTGCGGGCAGTTGTCCGTGGGCTTGGCTCTTGGTCCTTGGGTTCTCTGGGGAGGACACAGAGTTGGCGCAAGTGGTCACTCCTGGGGTCCTCAGAGGCTGGCAGGAGGAGCTGCCGTGCCAGGGCCTGGGGTCTTGACAGGAAGCCCCCAAGCCAAGGAGAGAAAGGACCAAGATGGCTAAGGGGGTCAGGCAGACACTTGTCCAAGGGTGCTAGGAGAGGCATGGAGGAAGGCAGGACTGCCCTGTGGGCACCCTGTCCTATCTCTGTCCTTTCCCCACCCACGCATCTCAAACTACAGGGGCGGGCAGGGGTGGCAGTGGCAGTGACAAGAATCCTTGTAAGAATTCCAACTCTTTGCTCATTCCCGAACTCATATTCATCTGACCTTCAAGAAGAAAAGGGAAAAGGTGTCAACGGCAGTGAGGGGACGGCACCGCCCTCACCTCCTCCACCTTGAATGTGCCCTCCCCCCTGGCATCATCTCGCCTTGGTTCAGTCTGTGACCGCCCCTCACGCTGACTCGTCCCTCACACAGCTGCCACCTTTCACCGAGGACTTTCCACCTGAATCTCAGCCCCATGTTTCTAGCAGCCTGCAGGGTATTGCAAAATCAACAAGCCCAGAACATTCCCTTTAAGGGTTTTCTAAGTTTGACTCAAAACCCAGAAAACACGCAGAAAAGCTGTAAATTCAACTACATACAATTTTTTAAAAAAGAATGCATGGCAAAAAATTCCATAAGTGAAGTTAAAAGACAAACCATAAACCAGTGGGGGGGTTTACAACTAATAACACAAAGGGTTAATTTCCCTAATATATGAAAGGCTCCACTCAATCAAATCAATAAGAAAGTGATCAATTGTTCAATATAAAAATGGGCAAAGGATATGAAGGAGGTTCAAAGAAAAAGAAATTTAAGTAAATCAAACATGAGAACATACTTAACCTCATCATAATAAGAAAAAACAAAAATTACAACTATACTGACATACAGTTTTTAATTTATCAGACTGGCAGAGCTCAGTAAGTCTGATAGCACCAAGTACCAAGTAAGGGGGTGAGGAAGCAGGCTAATACAGTGAGCCAAAGTGTAAACTGGTATCACCTCCATGAAGAGCAATTTGGCTGCATTTATCATTTTGACTATTTCCACCTTTAGGAATTTATTCCAGAAGTTAACTTAAACAATTACAAAATCACTCTTAACAACATTATTCACTGCAGCATTGTTTATAATCACAAAAGACCGGAAATAATCTAAACATCCCTCAGTAAGACACTGGCTGGACAGAGAATGGTAAATCCATATGATAGAATACTATGTACCCATAAAAAGGAATGAGAATGCTCTTTAGGTACAAATCAGAAATTAATCTAAGTTAAGTGGAAAAGGCAAGATGCAGCACAGTGAGTATTAGGGTACTCTTTACATCAAAAGAGGGAACAAAGGATATATGAGTATTTGTCTATATGTAAAATATCTCTGGAAACAGACGCAAGAACTGGAGGCTGGAAGCTGGGGCTGCCTCCTGATGCTCTCTGGTATCCCTTGCATCTCCTGGGAAAAGTATGAAGGGCACCTGGAACTTCATCTCAGTTTGTTCTCCACTCCCTCCTCTCCATCTACTGCTGGTAGAACCTACAGGCTCTCCTTGGCCCTAGGAACTCTCTGGCTGAGAGTGCTTGCCCTGCCCTATTCTCCTAGTCTGTGGACTAACGCTGTGGCCCAGAAGTTAGACAGGGTCTGAGAGGCATCTAGTCTACACCCTCAGCTGCATTACTTTTTCACTTTGGTCAAGGAACTTTTGAATTCCTAAACATCTCTGGAGAAGGAACATCAACAAGCCTATAAGCCCCCTTGGGCCACACAATGCAGCATGACCCCCCACCCCCCTCATTTCTTAGTTCCTTGTGATGTTTAGCCCAACAGGTCTCAAACTTTGCTGTGCATTGGAATTGTCTGAGGAGCTTGTGAGAATGCAGCTTTTGGGGCTCCATCATTAATTCATTCTGTAGGTGTGGGTAGAGTCCAGGAACTGGCATTTTTAACTGGATCCCAGGGGACTCTGACAGTGGTAGTCTATAGGTCCAACTTTGAGAAACTAGCTTACTGTCCTTCTAGACACTTAAATTCTTCAGCAGGGCTAGAGAAGACCAAATAAAATGGATGAACACATCCCTCTTCTCCAGGCTAACCTCCCAGAATAGACTTCGCCTCAGGAGCTAACACATGGCCATTCCCAAATCTGACCGCAGGCCCCCGATGGGGAGGACTTTGGCTTGTAACCAGCCCTTGGTGCTCAGGAACCAGAAAGACCCACCTGGTATGGTGCGAGCTTCCCGGGGTCGTCGGGGCCTCAAAGGGACTTGCGTCTTTGGGTCCCAGAAAAGAAATTTCAGGAAAGGATTTAAACTGATGGTGGAAAGGACGAAACTTCCTGAAACACAGAAAACTTCCACTTTGACTACAGTGGGGAAGGGAAAGGCTGAGAAAAAAGGGGCTAGCCCAACTCCCTATGATTCTAATCCTGGTAGCAAAGTGGGCCCTCACCTTTACATCTTTTAAGTTCTGAAACAAAACTCTCATCAGCCTTACTAGGCTAAACTAACACTTACGCTCTCCCTGGGGAGCACTGGTGTTGCACTGGTTAAGAGCTACAGTGAGCTACGGCTGCTAACCAGAAGGTGGGCAGTTCTAATCCACCATCTGCTCCTTGGAAACCCTATGGGGCAGGTCTACTTGTCCTATAGGGTCGCTATAAGTCAGATACAAATCGATGGCAATGGGTTTTATGCTCTCCCCGTCAGCTTTTCAAAGCCTGTTTACACTCACTGCCTCATTTGAATCTTTGATAACTGCTTTCTAAGATAAGTGGAACAAGTGGTGTTATCCTGTTTTACAGAAAAGGACATAGAGCCCAAAATGTGACTTGTCTCTTCGGTGATGGTGATATTACCTGTGCCTGCCGTGTGCAGTGCAGACGCTGAGGCACTGATGGTATCTCTCAGCCGCCGCATACAAGTCATGGCTACTTGTATTTAACTGGCTGTGAAAGGGCTGGCGGTTGAAGGACATGTGCCCCATCTGATTGGAAGTGAAGAAGGAAGCACCTCATTACCACCCCCGTGTTCTTTCCACTCACTCTTGGGCCACCAAAGCCAACTCTGTACTGTCTGCAGACACTGAGAAGGGACGTCAGGCCCATCTGAAAGGTGAGCAGGCATGCCAGGTTCCCAGGTCTGGGTCTTCACCTGCCCTGCCCCAGGCTGAAGAACATGGAGAATTCTGGCCCCAGTAGTCTCTGGTGGGTACATATGGACTTTTTTTTTTTTTTTAAATTGTGCTTTAGGTGAAAGTTTACAGAGAAAATTAGCATACTTTTCTTCTTTGTTGTTAACTCTTTATTTTGAGATAATTATAGATAGAGATGGACTTTTGACCTACTTACTACTTACTGAAGATTCAGTCACAACCCAGGTAGGCAACAGCTCATCAAGTTAACATAATCAATGTGACCCTCCTGCTCTAGGTAAGATGGGACCATAATGGTGGACAGAGGGCACAGTGGAGAAGGTACCAGGCAGGTCAGTGAGGATACCTGAGCTGCAATTCATTGGCAAGGTGGCTGTGTACAAGTCCCTTGATTTCTCTGACTTCAGTTCTCCCTACAAGAGGGTGCAGTCTCTCCTCAGTCTGCTTTTCTCCCAGGGCCATCCTGAGATGACATGGGTCAGATAGAGGCTTTGCAAAACAGAAAGTCTCCATGCAGTACAAGGGAATCCCTGAGACCACCCAAAATATCCTAATTTCAGCCAAGATACCTTTGACTGTCCTAGCACTGTGACTGGGCCAGTAACAACTTCACATGAGATGTCAGCATGCACCCGGGGAAATGAGGAGCCTGGATGGACATGAAGAACTCGCCACAGCATAGTGTTTAAAGGAAGGAATTCACACATGAAATCATTAGCTTCTGACTCATCTCCACTGGGAGCATCAACTGTGCAATGCCACCCTCAGAGGCTCCTCCTGCTCTGGAGGGACTTCTCCATGAGAGCAGGAGAGTAGTTTCTGGGGCAGGGGAAGGTGCAGGGCTGAGGGGCGCCATGTCCCATATCAGCTCAGAGCTCCTGAACACCTCTCCTTCTCCGTGCAGGCCTGGTGGGGAGAGGAGAGAGAGAGGAGGTCCCACTCACCTGCTCTCATCTTCGATTTTGAGGAATGGTGCCTTTAGTCTGGCCACTGGAAGAGGAGAATGTACACATTAGCTACCTGTCTGCCCCAGTGTAGGGCCTGCACTACACACACAGGAAACGCTCAGAGGTGAGGCTCTGCCAAAGCCTAAGAGCCTCTCAAGCGCTGGAAAACACACCGCCCCAAGCTGTGCCTTTCCATTTGGCAGAGGTGAGGCACCCACTCCCATCTTCTGTAGCCCTAACCCCTGGGGACAAAAAAAATTCCACTATTGGGAAGCAGGCTGCAGGGGGCCTGGGGCCCTAGGCGTGCCCTCCCTCAGCAGGTCACAGGACCCTCCTATGTGTAGCTTCTGGAGGCTGTCAACGGGCCAAGGATACCACCAGTTGTAGAAGCCTGGCTGGGGAGGAGAAACCCGACTCTTGTTTCCTGCTAAAAGGCTGGGATAGTCAGCGCCACAAAGCCCCAGGTCCTTCCTAGATCTTTGCTCCTGGTGTCTCAGAATCCTAAGGACCCCGAGAACACTCCTCAGGCAGAATTCTCCATGAGGGTCCTGGGTTTTTTGAGGGAGAGCAGAGAGCAAGAGGACTAAAGAGGTTTAGTGATCCCAGTAGTAGGATGGGAGAAAAATATCAGAAGTGCAATCTGGTTCCTGAAAAAACAGGGCAAAGGAGTGCTGGAAAGGCAAATCTGAAGTCAGTAAATTAAGAGAGTCACCCCTTACTGGCAGTTATTTGCATAGATTACAAGATATTTTAGACATTAAGAACCACTTCTATCTCTCCCCGGTGACCAGGGGGTCCTGTGAAAGGGGCGACCAAGGCAGGCTGGGAGCCCAGCAGACCTGACAGCCACCAAACCCCCAGAGAGGCTGGTGGCTCTTGGCTCCCAGTTCCACTTGAGGCTGCCACCACTGCCCAAGCAAAAAGCAGCCTTTTCTCCTTGAGCGGCAGCAGCTCCCATTAATTACTTTTTTTTGGGCGATTTCTTGTCTTTCTAATTAACTGAGACAGTGATTAAAATCAATTCCTCCACAGACTTCCTTGCATTTCGAGCATGAAAGAGGTGCCAAGTGACTTTTCTTAGATCCTGCTTGTGCATGAGTAAATGCCACTTAAAGAGCATCTTTGGGAGAAACATCCAGAGGGAGAAACTCTTCTGCTGTCCAAGAGGAGCCGGTGAGATGGAGCCTGTCAATCTGCCTATTTGTCAGTTTCAGGGAGTTTGGCATTTCTGAAAACGGTAGGCAGCTGTCAAATTGCCCACCCCAAACTGTTCCTGAATCAGAAGGAAAAGGATGCTTAACTTCAATTGACGCCCAAGAACAGCCAGAGGACGCGAGCGCCAAAGCGACCACAGGGGGCCTTGGCTCTAAAACAGCCCTGGCCCAGCTCTGACATAACCTCTCCCGCCCTAGAAACCTGGGCCCAGCCCCTGGGAACACCAGGGAGCAACACAACCTGGACTCACTTCCTGCCACAGAGAAGTGAGCAGATGCTGCCACAGAGGGAAGTGTTTCGAGGGAGGGATTGCAATTAGATGAGGAGAAGCTACCACACTGACCTTTCCGCATTCTTGACTCTGCTGCTGGACATGTTCCCTAAATGGAAAGGGAAAACAGGTTAAGGACGTGAGGGAGCCACGGGGGTCGAGGAGTGGGGCCTGGGAAGGCCGAGGAGCTGCGAGTCTGTCCCACTTTGCCTCCCGCTGCTGGGAGGCCTGCAGAACTGATTCTTAGGCCTAAACTGGAACAGACCTGAGCCCACTGGCTCTCCCCGCCTTCCCAGGGATGTGTTGAATGGTGAGCATTCAGGACCTGGCCTGGCCTTCTGTGTGTGAATCTCAATGGCAGCTGACTCTGTGGAGGGAACGCAGTATGGTGCAAACAGCAAGAGCTTGGGAGTCCATAGGCCGGGTGGGCACTGGATGTGTGGAGTATCCACTTATCTCATAGGATGTCACATATATTAATGGAGCATGTGGAAGACTAAGGCCAAGCAGCAGGGCAGGTGATCGCTAATGGTAGCTTTTGTTCTCTTGGCACTCCTCCAGGTCAGCCTAAAGGACAAAAGTGGAGACGAGGCCCATCTGCTTTCCTGTGCCCTACCTTTAATAGCCTGACCCTGTTGGTCAAAACCAACATGTAAGCTAAAGACAAGCAAAGCTGATGTTAAAAACTCAATGAAACAAAATTAAAAGTCAGTTAAATGGTGGTAGTGGTGGTGGGGAGACCAGAAATCCGGTGGATCCATGACTGCCTGTGCCTGTGGCCCCCCCCCAAGGAGGTCCCAGATTCTCCTCCAGGGCAAACCCCACCCAAAGAAGCCTCCCACATCCCTCATGGATCAGCAGATTACATCCAGAACTCATTCCAAAAGACTCCCAAGTATTTCCAAAACAGATTGCCAAGTAGAAAAAGCAAACTGAAAATCCTGTGCATTTACACAAAAGGGAGGGACTTTATGACCTGTTTGCCTGTAAATGCATGCAGTCCTGGAAAGATAGCTGAGAAATCGTTCACTCTTTATCTCAGAGACGGCGCTCAGTGGTTGGGGACCAGAAGTTGGGGGGTGAGGGGAGAAAGGCTTTTGTACCTTTTGAATTTGAACAATGCAATCTATTTAGCAGCAATAGCAAAACCCCCAAGGCTCCTAGACCAGAAGTTTTAGAGAGAGAGAAGTGTCGGGAGGCTGAGCACTCCACCTGGTTTGGATGTGGTTTGCTACTACTACTCGTCCTGCTCCTGGCTACCAGGCCCTGGGTGGATCTGCAGGGCTTAATCCTTCTGCAGATTCAGGTCTGGGTAAGACACCCTGGCTTTAAATCAGCCCAGGCTCCCTTGATGTGGTACACATTTCTCATCCCAGCAAAGAAGGAAAAGCCAGATGAGAATTTGGAAGATGGTAGATACCTGAACCACAACACCCCTCCTCACCCCGACCATGCAATCTGCAGGCTCATCCCCAGGCCAAGAATGGTCCCCAAAAGGGCAGCCTGGCCAGCAGGCCACGAATGTTTATGGGTTCTATCTAGGCCAGGGCTACCCACAGGCAATGCATAGCCCAGGCCACAGTGAATGCCTTGGCGGGATGAGTGGACCACAGGTTTCCAGGTAGCACAGGGAAGAGAAGAACGGGCAACACAAGGCTGTGGATGGTAAGGATGAGGTAACTGAGAAGCTGCCCTCCTCGTACTTTTTTCGGGATGGCCAGGAAGAGGTGGATCGCGGGATTTATCAAAGTTGTCACAGACTTCACTGTTTGAGAACCATTTGTCTCCCTTTGGTTCAGCAGGATGACCTACCTCTGGCGTCTTTGGCTCTTGTTTCCTCACATATAAAGCACCAAGAGACAGCTGCTGCACATGCATCATCATTTCTGTGGAGAACACAGAGCGCTGTGGCCAAAGGCTTCCACTCCTCATTCACCCAGCACAGCTTCCGCTTGGGGTGCAAGGACTGAACTCCCTCAGCCTAACCCACTGGATCACATCAGCCTTGCCTGCCACCTTCTGGTTCCACATCACCTCTGCACCTTCTGACAACAGAGGAAAGAACTGGGTCTTCTATCCCTGGAACAGCACCTAAGTTGGCTTCATGCTTTTTTGTGGCATACAAAACAACTCATATCTGAACAGGAGGTGCCTTCTGGGTCACAACGGAGCTGCTTCAGTAGAGACCAAGCCATATAAGGTACTCAGATGTATCCTTAGCTTCTCTAACACACAGGAAGGCAGGAAATTAGATCAGGTTAGAAATGGCTAATTTTCTAGCAAGATGGGGGCCCTCACCCTAGACCAGGAACTTCCTTGTACAGCCCCACCTCCCTGCCCTCTGCAAACCTCACTACTAATGGGTGGGATGGCACACCTGTCAGCACCTGTCCCATCTAGACCAGCCTCCCCCAATGGATCAGAGAAAACCCCAGACTCAGAATGGAGCTGGGTACTGGGGCCAGTCATTGCCAGGCGATTCAGGATAGCTCTTCTAGTATAAATTTATTACAACCCACAAACAGGTCACTATACTGTGAGGCAACCCTAAGGAAAAGAAAGAACATGAAATTCGGGGTCAAGCCAAGCTGGGTTGGAATGTGGGTCACACCACTCACTCCTGGCTAGACCATGGATAATTTATGTAATCCCTCTGAGGCTCAATTTCCTCACCTGTACAATGGGGACAGGACTGCAGTAAGGACTGAGTGAGGTAACTCCTAGCAAAGAGTAAGGACCCAGTTAAGTGGTCACAGATATTAGGATTATCTCCTTATTTGTAAAATGGGATCATTACACTGGCTTGAGAAGAGTGGTTGTGCGGTTAAAAGAAACAACACGTTCCAGGTGCTGGCGACGTCTGATGTTCACGCTTTCCCCCACACCCTCCCACCTTTGTGGACCAGCTTGTTAACTGAGCACTTCTGGCTCCCAGCTACCAGAAGCCTTCCCAAAGTCACCAGCTCTCCCTGCCCCCCAGGAGACCAGGGTAGAAACAGTACCATCAACATGCAGAATCCTCACTCCCCAGGAGCGGGCGTTGGCCAGGAGGCTGCTGCTGCCCCCACTGCCTCCTCCACTGCTGCTCCCCTGGAATGATGAAGCAGGGTCAGGCAGGGGCATGAGACTCCCCAAGGCCTGAGCACCACAGGAATAGCTACTTGTAAAAGATGTACAAAGTCTGCCTTGTATGCAGAGCAGACATTAACCCAGAGCATCACGCCAAAGTTCTCTCATAGGCTCTGGAGTCAGAAAGATCAAGAAGTCAAATGCTGGCTCCACCACTTACTCACTGGGTGACTCTGGACACGTTACTTAACCTCTCTGAGAATCCACTTCCTCATCTACAGGAAGGGAATAATACTACACACCTCAACAGTGTGTGCAATTCATGTTAGTAGTTCAGAAGAACCTCAGAGGAAAAGCTACATCCCTCCCTATGCAGTAGGTAGGAGAGTGCGATGTCCGCCCCCATGCCGTCTCCCCGACCTCACCTGGTTTCTGATGGCCTTCTGCAGTAGCTCCTTCCCTCTGCTCATAGGCACCTGACAGGAAGAAAAGAGCCATGAGGTATGTTGCATAGACCTGTGCACAAATAGCTGTATACACATGTGCTGGCGAGGACATCTTGGGATCATGTCCCTCAGATAGCTGTGAGCAGTGACAGCTGAGGAGTGGCAGAAATGAGAGCCTAGAGAACCTTTAGGAGGTAAAGGTGAAGTCACACACAAGTTTACGTCATCCATAAGTAGCTGCAGCCTGGGAAGCCTGGACCCTGGTGGAGAAAGGCATTCTGAATTCATCCAAGGTTGAGTTGCTACAAATGTTCTAAGCCCTCTTGTTAAGAATCCTTATGGTCTCTGGTGGACAATGCACAGCAAATGTTTCATTTTAGAAAAGATTTTCTTTGCTCCTTGGAAGTGCTGCCCCTCATCACAATCCCAACGGTGTAGCTTTATGGACATTTTAATATTTGCCAAAGTAAAGTAAAAATAGAATGTCAACTTAAGGAAAAAGTTACAGTACATTCTAAGTCAAAGACATCACATGTGCACTGTACAAACTATTGGCCCTTCAAATGGGAGAGCAAGGGAGAATGGAATCACTGCCTCCTCGAGGTCCTCCTGCTCAAGCCTAGGCCAACTTCAGCAAGTCTCCTCTGGGCTACAGAGGACTCTCCTATTATTTTTGAACCTCTGACTCTGAAGTTCCATAAAAACTGAACATATATCATAGACAGGATAACATGAGGATAGCATGTTGCTGAGTTATTTAGGTCCAGAGCTATGATAAAATATTTTCAGTACCTGATTCAAATGAGAGTTTAAATTAAACCACATTAAGGTAAAATCAGATACTGCCTAAAAGGGCTCAACAAGGCCTACTTCTTTTGTTTACAGAATACAGTTTTCCAACCCCACTAGGTTCTTACCGAGTCTACAGGTTTTTGCGAGGGTGTGGCATGGCTGCCTTTGGGATCAGCTGAGGTTGGTATTTCCACTCTGACCTCCCTGGGGCTGGGACAGCCTCTGTGGCTTGTCCCACTGCTCTCTGCTTTCGCCTCCCTGCGGCTGGACACGATGTAACTCACTTCTTTGCTCAGAAAACCCTCAATTACCTGAAACCAGATCACAAAGGTGGCTGAAAACCAAAAGGCAGATGTAGGATTGTCAATATTAAGAGGCTGGGGAAGGAAATCTTGGCTGCCAGAGGCTCTAGAATCAATGTCTTTAAATAGACCAAATGCAGCAGTGTACCGAGCCTCTAAGAAAACATCAACCTGAAATGTAAGAGGAAAAATACAGGTTTTTGTCTCCAGGACTGCTGCTCCTGATCCAACAACAGAAGGCCATGGGCTTTGAGGTGTCTGATCAGTTTTCATTTAAATAGAACAAAAGTACACTGAATAGGCTGCACAGGATTAAGGGTTGTGTGGCTAAACTACCATTTTTCTGTGTTAGATACACTGGGTCATTTGGACACTACATTTGTCATCTTGACCAAGCTACAAAAAGGAGCCTATAAAATGAAACAGAAGAGGGTTTTGGCCACCACAGTACTCAGCTGTCTAGGCATCTGCTCATCCTACAAAACTATAAGCCCCTCACATGCACTGAGAGGGTCTGACCCATCTTTACATCCCAAGAACCAGCAGGGTGCCTGAAACATGACACTTACCTCATGTTTGTGGAAAGAAGAGATGGAAATAAGCAGTGGTGAGCTGGTAAACGATTAACAATCGACTCTCGGGGGAAAAAAATACCTGCTTTGTAGCATTTGCCAATTTCTGGGGGTAAATACTTGTACTATTACTGATTTCAAGCTACCAATATAACATTGCCCAACGTAGAGCTGGAAGAGATGCTAACAATTGGCTTTTGTGAGCCAGTACTGGCCAGCTTCAGCACACCATTGAAAATAACGATGGATGATGTCTCAGAAGCGTGACTGGATGAGAAACCTGAACCTTAGGTTGAAAAAAAATCCTTAAAGTTAATGGCTCCAAGGAGCACATCTACCTTCTTTAATAAGGCAAAAACAAATGCTAGAGGGTAGGATGGGGACAGTTGTTATCTTACGTAAATGTGGTAGATAAACATGTTTAACAGCCAGAAATTCTTCTCATCCCTGTATACCCATTGCTTTACAATAAAACTTTGCTACTTTTCCCATCAAGAAGTAGAGCCTAATTTTTCCATCCCTTTAAATCTGACTTGCTTCATATGTGCGGGTTCTAGAGCCTAGGCCTCAAGAGGCCTTCCAGCTTCCCCCTTCACCTTCTGGGAAGGCTGTCCTGAAACTACTATGTAAGTCAGCTGGCCTAGCTTACTGAAGGATGAGAGGCCACAGGGCAGAAAACCAAGGTGGCCTGGCTGACAGCCAGTACCAACTGCCAGTGAGGCCATCTTTGTTCTTCCAGCCCAGCTGACCCTCTAGCTGAATGCAGCTGCATGAGTGAGCCCTGTGGAAACCAGCAGAGAAACTGCCCAGCCAACCCAGGGAATAGTGAAAAATAGTAAATAGTTGTTTAAAGCCTATGTTCTGGCGTGTTTTTTTTTTTTTAAACAAAGTAAAGGCTAAATGACAGAATAGACTGAAAGTTCAAACCATAATTATGGGCCAGTTAGGCATATAATCCTCATTCTCCCCATCCCCTCAGCTGAGTTTTGTTAGTTTGACAGCAAAAAGCCTCTGCATTTCAAGCCTATTCATGCAGTTTCCCCAGTTACCAGACTCTTTTGAGCCAAGCACTCTCATACTGTTTTTTAAACACAAGTAATGTCCACATCCACCCCCTACTAAACGTGCCATATGGTACGGTATATGCTTTAAAAATAGTTTTAATGGATTGAAATAAAGCAAATGCTTTTTACCCAAAGCTGTTCACCACAGTGTTATTTATAAAAGCTAAAATGAGAAATAGTTTAAATGTCCATAGGGCAACAGTTAAGTAATGATTCACTCAAAAGAAAAGAATATTATATTCCTATTACAAAGAATGCATGTGAGGGCTAATGATAGGAAAGTGCTAATACTTCAAGGTTATGTGCAAAAAGGCAACAATCAAAAATGTACTCACAATCATAGCAACATAGAAAATAAGCATTTTGAAAAAAGATAGAATAGAGACAAAGAAGATTAGTGGTTGCCCAGGGCTGGGAAGAATGTGGGGAAAAGAGGAGCGACTGCTAGTGGGTATAGGGTTTCTTTTTGGGGTGATAAAAACGTTCTTAAATTGATTGATTTATACTTAAAATTACTTTGGAAAACAGTGATACCACTGAAAATACCTGGAAATCAGATATAATCCTTCTGCAGCTCCTGCCCTATGACCCACAGAGGCCCATGGTATCATAGGAGAGCAGCAGGTTACATACCCCACCCAGCTGCTGGATGGCCCCGGTCAAAAACTGGAGATTCTTGCCAGCAGGCAGATCCAAGTAAAAGGACTTTCCAGAAAAGGGCTGCCTCCCAGCACCTGGTGAGCTCTTCTGGCATTTTTCCAGCCAACTGGACACTCCTAGCTGAGCCCCTAGAAAACAACAATAAAGAGGAGGAAAGTAAGAAGCTTGAGGTAAGAGGGAACACTGCAGGTCAAACAGCCCTCACTGACAGCCTCTGCAGGGCAGGCCCTGGGCACACAAAGATGACTGTGAGACTAGTGTCCTACCCTCACTTGCTCAGATGTGGAGAAACTGGAGCCCTCACACATTGCCAGGGGGGATATAAAATGGTGTAGTCATTTTGGAAAACAGTTCGGCAGTGCCTCAGAAGATTAAACAGAGAGTTATCACATGACCCATATCTAGCTTTCATGTGGATACATGAAAACATATACCCATATAAAAACTTGTACACAAATGTTCACAGCAGTTTTGTTTATTCATAATAGCCAAAAAGTGGAAAAAACTCAAATGTCCATCAACTGATGAATGATTAACCAAAATGTGGTATATCCAGACAATGGAAGGTTATTCAGCAACAAAAAGGAATGCGGTACTGACACATGCTACAATGTGGATGAACTGTGAAAACATTATGTAAGTGAAAGAAACCAGTCACATATTGTATGACTCCATATTGTATGATTCCATTTATGTGACATGTCCAGAACTGATGAAAGACATACATCTTTGGTGTCAGAAATCAAGTCTCAAAAAGGAGAAATAAAATAAAACTAAGTCCACATTGAGAAACAAAGTGAATATGAAAAACATCAAGGACAAAGAGATGATACTAAACCAGAGAAAAAAAAAAGAACCTACCAAGCATTAACTATAATGGAACAGCTGTTAGCCCTCATAGACATTTCAACAGCAACAATGGAAGCCAGAAACCAGCGATAATGGCGCTGAGAGAAGATAAATGTCAACTTAGAATTTTATATGCAACTAAACTATTATTCAAGAATGAGGGTAAACTAAAGACATTTTTCAAAAAAACAAAACCCCAGACAGTTTATCACCAACAGATTCTCACTAAAGGACTCTAAAAGATGTACTTCAGAAAGAAAAAACTGAACCCAGAAGGAAGGACTAAAATGTCAAAAAAAATTGGTAAAAATACATATAAACCTAAATAATAAGCGACTGTACAAAACAATAATAATGATGACTAGTTTGGATGTAAAAAAACAGATAATAATAATAATACTGTTGCTAAACAGCAAAAATACGTTAGGTGGGGGGAGGAACGGTTCAGAAATAGAACAGTTCAGGCTCTTGTAATTGTAATGTTCAGGAGGAGGTAGAAATATTTACAGCATCAGGCTTTGCCATGGCACACTGAAAGCTAAAAGAAGATGGAACATGTCTTCAAAATTCTGAGGGAAAACAATTTCCAACCTAGAATTCTTTACCTAGCCAAACTATCACTCAAATGTAAGCCAGAATAAAGAATTGTCAGATCTGCAAAGTCTCCAAAAATTACTTCTCATATACCTTTCTCAGGAAGCTATACTGGAGGATGTACTCTTTCAAAGAGGAAGTAAGCCAAGAGACAGGAGAATATGGAATTGAGAATACAGGCGATCCAACATAGGAACGAAGCAAAGGGAATTTCACTGAATGATGAAGGGAGATACTAGGATGAAATCTAGGCAACCGGCCTAGCGCATATCTAAACCAGACTACAGTGCTAAGACAAATGGTCCCAGAACGTACGTCTCCAAGACAAAGAAGAAAATCATAGATTTTCTGATGAGCTTGAAAGTATTGACAGGTTTGTTATTTCTGGTAAAGGCTGTGGTGATTCATACATAGAAAACAAATCAAATTTCCTAGTTTACTATATGGCTCAGCTGTGAGCAGCCTTTACATAATCATAATAAAGTAAACACAAAAATCATCTAGACAAAAATATACTGAGAGGATGGAAATATGTGTTTGTGTGTGCGTGTGGTGAAAGGGACAGAGGTGACAAAAAAAAAAAAATTATCTTCCATAGCAGAAAGTCAATAGATAAAATTAAAAATGGAAAACAACAGTAACAAAAAGCAGTATGAACACGCTGTTTGGAAATAAGAATACAAGTACTAAAATGAACAGCTAAAAAAAGCTGTAAACAGTCACACCCTAGAGAATGGGAATCATGGAGTATGAAAGGAAGAGCAGAAGAATGTTTTGTTTTGTGACAGACCCTGGTATTTTAAACAATGTAAGCATAAAACTGCAATAAAAACGAAAATAAAAACCCTCCAAAATCCAGACAGAGTTATATTATAGTGAATTTTAAGAACAGAGAGAATAATCTAAATTTTTCTAAAGAGAAAAAGCAGGTCACTTACAAAGGCACAAGAATCAGATTAACATCATTTCTCAACAGTGTCTATGTAAGAAGAAAATATTGTAATTTTCCAATATGTTGAAGGAAAAAAAACTGACTCAAGAATTTTAATGCAGCAGTGAAATAAAGATATTCTCAGGCATGCAAGCGTCAGAAGTTTATCACACAGAGTCCTCTTTTGAAAACAGTCTTGGAGAAAGTTCTCCTGCAAAAAGAGAAACAGATAAAGAAGAAAGCAACAAGACGTGGGAAGGATGTAACTTAGGGAAGGGTATTACTGTCTAAAAGGCAACAATAACAAAACCCCTTACCTGTAACAATCAGAACTAAAACTGGATGATACTAAAAGAAGAGGAAGTACCACTATGTGCTATAATACTTATCTAATTAGATGAGAGTGTATAAGTTTATCAATAAACTTAAGAAATTTATGGTGAAAATAACAATGAACATGAGTTTCAATAAATTATTATATCCTGACTCTCCATCTGCCTACTTTGTCCATAATACCAGACTGAAACCTCTCGTTTGACCTTTAACATGAATTCCTATATGATCCCCTCCCCTATAAAACTACTAAGGAATTTGACAACCCAAATAGGGCTAAAATTTCTCTTTCTTATCCTCCCGAGACCCTAGGGCAGGAGTAGCACATTTGACCTCGCATCCCTAGTTTTAATGTTACCTACCTAGGTCCGGAACCCGGTGCCTAGCCTCAGCCATGGAACTCTCCTGCTCGAGGAAACAGTCGCCTGAGAAAGGAGGAAAAAGCTCAACTACCTTCTCTAGCCTTCGACCTTTCACGGCTCCCACCCCCCAAAACCCGCACAAAGCCGAGATTCCCAATTCGGGTTCCAAGGAGAGCAAGACTCAACTCCAGCCCAACCCACTCAACTCCCGCGTCTCCTTCCATGCGCATGTCCCTCAGTCCCACCGCCCCGTTTCACACTCTGTTCCCTCAACTCATGCCTTGGCCACCCCTTGTATATCTTTTCAATTCCCGTTCCTTCTAGTTCCTTCGCTCCCTTTAGACCTCTGCCCCTCAACTTTCGAGACCTGCTAAATCACCTCAATTCCTGTGACCCCCTTTACGTCTCTTATACCCTCCTCAGCTTCTGCACTTAACCGTTTCTCAATTTCTATGCCCACTTTCTAATCCCTTACCCTCTCTTCAACTCTTCTGACCCCTTCCGCCTTCCTTCTTACACCTTTCTCCCCTTCCCGGCATCCGTACCCATTCCTAGCTCCCTCCTCAAACTCTTGCCTCCTTCTCGGCTTTCGGAGTCCTTCTTCAAGCCCGGCGTATTGCATCCGCTGGCTCCATGAGCTGTTTCAGACTCCCGAATGCCAGCTATCCCTCTGCAACGACAGCATCATTCTCTAGGTGCCCTTGGCCGCGGCTTCAGTTTAAATTTCCTGCTAGCCCCACCCCTAAAACACTAATAGCTGCGAGATCTGCCCTACGGTGGCCTTGGGAGGACAATTCACAATCCCACCTTTTCCCCGCCTCCGTTATTGTCAGCCCGTTTTCTCCAGCTGGCGCCCGCGCTTGCGTTTTTTTTGGCTGGCGATGCTCTGCGCATTAATGGCCACGAAGCCGGGGAATTAGTGGAAGTGTCTTAATGATTCATTACCCTGAGCTGGGTTTAATTTCCTAGGAGTTAGAATAATAAAATAAACCTAACAATTATAGAGCGTTTACAGTTTACGTGTGAAGATTTCACGTACGTATCATTTCATCTTCACATCTTTGTCCCCTTCCCTTTTCTCCACTCACCTAACAAAAAACTAAAGAGTGTCTTCATTCCTCGCCTCCCATCTTTTCTTCAACCCACTGTAATTAGACTGATCCTCACCCCTCCACTAAAACTTTTCTTGTCCAGGTCAATAGTGACTTCTCCATTGCCAAATCCTATGGCCACTTTGTTACCCTTATGGTATCCGACTTCTATAACACTGACACAGTCAAAGTTATGAAATACTTTCTTCTTTTGGTTTCCATTACCCAGCACTGTCCTGGTTTTCACCTTGCCTCAGTGGCTCCTCCTCAGTCTCCTTTGCTGGATCCAACACTACTGCTCCAATGTTGGCATATTCCCAACACTTAGACCTTGGCGCTCTTCTCTTCCCTGTTGGCACTCTCTCTAGGAGACCTCATCCAGCTCCAAGGCATTAAAATTCAGCTGTACACTAATGCCTGCAAAATTTCTGTCTCTAGCTCTGACCTCTCCCCGGAGCTCCAGACTAGAGATCTACTATGTCCAGTGCCTACTGAACATTTCCATTTGGAAGTCTAATAGGCAACTCAGGCTTAACATGTTCAAAACAGAAATTTGTTCCTTCCTCCCCCTGCCAAAAACAAAACAAAAAACAAACACCTGTTCTTTCCCCAGAGTTCCTCATCTCAATAAATATCATCATCATCCACCAATCGCTCAAACCAAAAACTTAGAAGCTATCTACCAGTACTTTTCTCTATCCCACCTCCACTGCAAAAACAAGTCCTACCAACTCTGCCTCTGGAGTAACATCTTGAATTAGACAACTGCTGCCACCCTAATCCAAGCCACTCTCATTTCTTGCCTGAAGTACTGCAGTCAATTCTTAACACAACTTCGACTCTTGACTGCCTTCTACCTTTTCCCATATAACCCATTCTCCATGAAGCAGCCAGAGTGATATTTATAAAATACCATGGTCGAGTATATTACTGTTCACGTGTATTCAGTGTCCCTTCTAGTGGGGGCTGTCTCTGGAGGAAAATTGTATATCCCAGCCCTGATGAACTCAGACCTGACAGTGTGACTTGATTTGGCTAATAGAAAAAGTAACATTCCCAAGCAGAAACTTTAAGAGCCAGAGTGGTTCACCATGTTCTCTTTTCCTCCTGCATGATGACTAGCAATGTTCCAGGTAGAGGCTGTGTTATACATTGAATTGTGTCCCCTAAAAATGTGTATCAACTTGGCTAGGCCATGATTCCCAGTATTGTGTGATCGTCCACCATTTTGTCATCTGATTGATTTTCCTGTGTTGTAAATCCTACCTCTATGATGTTAATGAGGTGAGATTATTGGCAGTTATGTTAATGAGGCAGGACTCAATCTACAAGATTAGGTTGTGTCTTAAGTCAATCTCTTTTGAGATATAAAAGAGAGAAGTGTGCAGAGACATAGGAGGACCTGATACCACAAAGAAACAAGAGCTAGGAGAATAGCGTGTCCTTTGGACCTGGGGTCCCTGCGCTGAGAAGCTCCTCAGCTGGAGAAGACTGGTGACAAGGACCTTCCCCCAGAGCCAACAGAGAGAGAAAGCCTTCCCCTGGAGCTGGCACCCTGAATTCAGACTTCTAGCCTCCTAAACTGTGAGAGAATAAATTTCTCTTTGTTAAAGCCATCCTCTTGTGGTATTTCTGTTGTAGCAGCACTACATGACTAAGACAGGCTGTTTTGTCAACTTGGGTTCCTTAATGAAGATGACATGGAATAGATATAAATCCATAATGGATTTGTAGCATGAGCAAGAAATAAATCTTTGTTGTAATACGCCATTGAGATTTTGGGGTCATTTGTTACCTATCATAACCTAGCACCAGGTTCTTAAAGTATGGTCTGAGGTCCCCAAGATACTTTCAGAAGGGATGCAAAACTATTTTTATAATAGTATTAAGACGTTACTTGCCATTTTTCACTCATTCTCTCATGAGTGTTCAGTGGAGTATGCGAAGCAGAAATGAGAATGCAGCTGTCTTCTCTTAAACCAGATATATTAAAGAGATTTGAAAAAATGTAAAACAATGCCATTCTTCTCACTAATTATTTTTGTTTTGGAAGCTATGTTTTCATTAAAAATATACTGTTAACACACAGTGGGCTTCTTGTTTTTAGATGAATAAGTTAGTATTTTAAAACTTCCTATATTTTAATTTCTAATTCTGTAAATATTGATAAGTGCAACCCACATTGTGGTAGGCAATCTCCAAGATGGCCCCCAGTGATCCACGCCTCCTGGTATTTATGCCCATGTTAAATAAGGCTGTGTAACCAATAGATTGAGGAAATGATAGTGTGTGACTTCTGTGGCGAGGTCATAAAAGCCATCATGACTTCTGTATTGCTGTTTCTTGGATCATCTGCTCTGGCAGAAGCCAGCCACCCTGACACATGGACACTCAAGTATGCCTGTGGAGAGGCTCACGTGGAGAGCAACTGAGGCTTCCTGCCGACAGCCAGCACCAACTTGCCACTCATATGAGTGAGTGAGCTACCTTGAAGCTGATCTCCCAGGCCTACTCAAGCCTTCAGATGATTTCAACCTCACAAGAGATCCCAAGCTAGAAACCCCCCAAATTGCTTGAAATTCCTGACTCACAGAAACTGAGAGAAAACAAGTGAATAAAGCCACAATTGAATTTAACTCACTAAGTTTTGATGTGATTTTTTTTTTTTTTTTTTACATAGCAATAATAACTAATCTACACATGAACAAAAAAGCTGTTTGGGATCCTCAATTTTTTTTTATTGTGCTTTAAGTGAAAGTTTACAATTCAAGTTAGTCTCTTATACAAAAATTCATATATACATTGTTATGTGACCCTAGTTACTCTCCATATACTGTGACAGCACACTCCTCCTTTCCACCCCGGATTTCCCGTGTCCATTCAACCAGCTCCTGACCCTCTCTGCCTTCTCACCTCACCTCTGGACATTTAGTCTCATGTATCTATTTAAGCTAAGAAGCACACTCTTCATGAGTATCATTAGGATCTTCAATTTTTTAAGAGTGTAAAGGGGTGCCAAGACCAAAACTTTCAGAAACCGCCTACCTATCCTATCCTGACTGATACAAATGAAATAAGGTTAAATTACCCTCCCTTAAGAAAACTCCCAATAGAGTCCCGTTTGCCCCTCTTACCATACTTTCCTTCTCTTCCTTCAACAACCCAAGCTCATTCCTACTTTAGAGCCTTTGCATTAACAGTTTCATTTCTCAGGTCTTCTCTTTTCTTTTAGGTACCACATCAAATGCCACTTTTTCAGACAGGACTTCTCTGACCCCATCCCTTGTCAGTCCCACTGCCTTGGTTAATTTTCTTCATAACACTTACTGCTATCAGAAAGTATCTTATTTGTTTACTTGTTTATTATCTATATTCCCCTACAGAATGTATGCACCATAAGAACGAGGACTTTGTTTTATTCACTGCTATATCCCCAGAGTAAAAAACCTGCTTGGAGCATCTAAAATAAACCAACAAAAAACCCAACCCATTGCCATTGAGTTGATTCCGACTCATAGCGACCCTATCTATATGACAGAGTAGAACCGCCCCATAGGGTTTCCAAGGAGCAGCTGGTGGATTTGAACTGCCAACCATTTGTTTAGCAGCCGAGCTCTTAACCACTGCGCCACCAGGGCTCCCACACAGTAGGTGCTTGATGAGTATTTGTTGAATGAATGACTGAATTGCTCTGATCTTCAGTTTTTTAATTTTTAAAATAAGGATAATATTATCTACCAGGCAGTCAGACTGTAAAGAGTAAACATGTATTTAGCACACAGTCAGTGATCAGAAAAAGACAGCAAAAACTGTAGTGGAAAACAGTATTTTTGACATAATAATTCAGATTTTTCTTTCTCACAATTTTTCTTGATTCCTGAGGGGTAGGGCTTAGATTTAAAAAATCAATGCACTTCAACTAATTTCACAGACCAAGGGCTGATTTCTCAATACT